CTTCACTGAGTTGCGCAAGCCCCTTCGCCACGACAAGGCAGTGATCCATGAAGGGGAAGATGGGCATAGTGTTTGCCATAAAAACAAATAAATACACATAGCTTAATAGCAGTATAGAGAGATAACAAAATAGCAAAGAAGTAATTATAACAAGAGGGCCCATACAGCAGTAGTTATGGAACTATTAGCAACCCTTTTTGAAATTACTGGAGTTAAATCAGCTGCTTGTATTGAATCAGGTACTGATTAGAGAGGAGGAACAATATTAAATCTATATCTCAAGCTGCGTAGAATGGACAGCACAGTAATATATGTATACGTGGCTCAATTTCTCCCATTGGAAAAATGCTATAGTATTGGGAAGTTAGTGAATTTCCTTTCCATTAGCATGGAAAGCAGAGCCTGACATGAGATGTCTACTAGAAAATTATGAGGAACAAAAAGCCTTTCAAGCAAATCAGCATAACAAAAGTGGTAGTTGTGCCTAAGTACATGATGTTTCAGCTCTGTTGCAGTTCTCTTTCAACACCAAGTGAAGTCACAGAACCATAGGTCCAATTCAGTACCTTTCTTCCAAGATGATTGAAAAATATTCTATGGGATCAGGGAGGTAAGGGAGTCATCAAGAAGAATTAGTTTTAGCCAATAATTGTCAGGAAAAGCTAAAGAAACTTGACTAGATTCTAATCACAGTTGGAGTTGGGAAGATACCAAAATACTTTTACCATAGCTGTTAGGAATTTAGACTGGATCTTCTTTTAGAGGACTTGGCTCTCTGTAGTGAGAGACCTGCAAGTCATATAAAAGGTAGGTTTTAACCTTTACTCTAAAGATATTTATAGCACCAAGAGCATAATTACTGCCTCTGCTGTTGGCAAATTGAAAAATGGTTTGGGAATCTTAAGAGCCAAACATTATTGGTTTTCCCCACAAGGCTTAAGTTTAGAAGATGACTTCCAAATATTTAAATGCCTTGGTGTGTTGTATAAAATTTTTTTAATCTTTCAGCAGTGGTTCCAACTTGCAAACCTTGTAAATGAAGACCACCACTTTTGTTTAGACAAAGCTGATTACAAGGCTTTGTAACTGCTTGTATGAGGCAAAGATTTGGAGGCTCTATTTAAGCCTACTTGTGTTGTAGATAGGATGGCGGTTTCATCAGTATTAAGGAGAACTGAAGCAGGCTTTGGGGAATGGAATTCTGTTTTTGTCAGAGCTTAAAATACAGAGTGGATATAAACATTGAAACAAGCTAGTAATCTTGCTTAAATCCTTTTTGAATGGGAATTAGGGCAGAAAGGTAACTGAAGTGACACATCTAACCTGCACTGAGATACGCAGGCTTCATAATCAAAAGCCAACAGTCAATAGCAATGGATGCCAGTTTCACTCAGAGCCTATCTCTAGGTACTGATTCAAATGCTGCTTTTAAATCAATAAAAGCGATGTCTTAGGATGACTAGAATATTTTTCCAGTAGATGGTGGAACACAGTATGCTGGCTGAGTGTTGCTCACTCTGCCTTCAACTCAGCTTGCTTGTCAACCAAGTCATTGTCCTGCACCAACCAGTTGGGTGATGTCCAATAAAGATGCCTGGAATACGATCTACTTACTATACTTGGGAGGCCAGTTGCCATTTTATCTCCTTTCTTGTAAATTAATCTTAAATTGACCTTCTCCAGTCCTTAAAGATTTGTAAAGAGTGAAGTGTATGAGTGACTAGGTTGCCAATACTGGGACCCATCCATGTGAGTCTGCTTTTAATAGTTAAGCTGGAATCAACTCTTCCCCCAGTTGCTTTGCCATTTTTCACTTTCGCAATAAGATTGAAGATTTCATGAGGGGGCACAGGAGCATTTTTGGTATATCTTTTAAACTGCATAAAGCACAAAAATGTTCAGCTCAAACCTCTGGGGTATTATTTTAACCAACTTAGTAGTTTTTGGAAAAGAGAGATCTGCCAAGTACAAGAAAGCAATAGAGTTATTTTTCTTAATTATTCAGACTGATTTCTACAGTTATCCAGTTTAGCTTCCTGTTGTTGTGGTTGTTTTCCTTTTCAGTAAGTCCTTGTAAGGTTTTCTTCATTTCAAATACTAACCACTGCAGGAGTGGGGTGATTGATGCCTTTATGGACTTATATACATGGTTAAACATTTTCCCAGTCAAACCAAGGCATAGGTTTGTTTCTAATATTCTTACCTGGGGGAGGGGGAAGGTAAACTAGTGATTAGGCTGTATTTAGAAGTTGTTTTGTTTGCCTATATGTTATTTTATTTACAATATCTACTTCAGACTACTGGGTCAGATCCAGTTCCCTATCTCTGTTAAAGGAAATAAAAAAAATACTAACAAATCAATAAATATAACAAGGAAGAAAATGTGAAATAAAATATATAGAGCAATCACAGTATAAAGGAAACAAAATTAAAACTAAAATGCTAGGGGAGAGGAAGGGTTAGCTATGCATCAAAAGTACCCATTGTGTATCCTACCCTGTATAGGTTTGGTGTGGAAAAAGGGAAACATCTGGAAGAAGGCCTTCCAAAATGAAAGGGTCCTACAGAAGAACAATCATGTTAGAAGTTATTCCTTTTGATACTTTGACCTGCTAAATTTTAAATTATTTGAAGTAAACCTTGAAATGACCTGGAAGCCAGTGCAGCTGACCAAGCACTGTGTGCCTTGACTATATTGACTGGCTGATTAAATCGTCAGCTCAAATGTGAAAATTGCATACTGAAGATATGTAAAAAACATGCTTTCTGATAAGTGTGTGAGGAACAGGACTGCTTCACAGAGCCTGTTTGAGTATGATTGAAGGAGCTATTCAATTTGAGACAGTGAGGAGCGCAGAAAACTGCTGAGGACCTTCAGTGTGTTTTCTTTGATATGGGCTTTGTTGTGTTGAACCCAAAACAGGTTCTGGACTACAACTTCATTTTGCAAAGTAGCCTTGAAAGGACATTAACTGAAACAAATTATCTCTTCGAAGTTTTGTACCATCCTATTTCTGTGGGTGGGGTGGCCATTATCTTTCTGGAAGAGTTCTTTATTTTCATGCCTAAGGTAGGATTTTTAAAGCTCGTTTCAGAATTAAAATGAAGGCCTTGATTTAGACACAACATATTGACATTTTATTATTTATTAAAAATGTGTTATTCCCTTTTCAATATCCAAAAATGGAATCATGTATATTAAATGGTGCTTTCTTTTCATTCCTTTAGCATGGGATCAGTCTGATAAGTTTGTGAAACTCTACGTCACATTAAGTGGCGTTCAAGATCTGCCAGCTGAAAATGTTCAGGTGCACTTTACAGAAAGGTAGGTTCTCTACTACACCAGAAAGGAACTTCAATCTTCTCTGGAATTGCCAGTCCTTTGCTGTTGTTTCCATTTAAAACTGTTCAAAAACTCTCAAGTAATATATTCTCTTTCCATTATGCTATTTGCAAATATATGAATATCAATGTAAAAGTCATCATTAGCTATCAACACATTTTTTGTTTGGCTTAATAACTAAATATTTAGTGTGTGTTGCCACTTAATTGTTTTTTTGATAGAAGGTGTAAGCAGTATCTGGTGCTGTTGCTACTACTGCTAGGTCTCAGAGTCTCACAGAGGTGAGGAAGATGATCCCTCTTCTTGTATAGTAAGGAGAGATGGATTCTGTTCTCAAGCTACAGTTTTACTGAAATGGTAGTATGTTGTACCTGCTGCTACTTCCAACCCTTATAGAAAGGAAGAGATACCACCTCTCCCTCAAAGATATACTGGCTCATCAAACAAAGTTTAGTCTAATGATAATCATGGTTAAGATATTTGCCCACAATGCCAGCATAGTTAGCCATAATCATGGTTAAGATACTCGCCCACAAAGCCAGCATCATGCAACATGGCAAAACTGAGAGCAGCTCCACTTTGCCAGCAAGCAGTCAACTAGTCTAGTATCTTAGCTATATTGACCAATTTTTATTTTTATTCCACTGTTTAGTTAAAATAATAAATCCTGATCACTGTTGACTTACTTGAGTGCCATTATGCAAGACCACAGGAAATGAGAGAATCTGTTCTTCAAGACCAGGATTATGTCTCCTTTGATACTGAGGTTATCCCAAACTACCTTTACAGGTAGTCCTCAGTTAATGAACACAATAGGGACCAGAAAATTGGTTGTTAAGTGGGCGGTCATTAAGTGAGTCACCACATGATTGAACCCTATTTTACAACCATTTTTACGATGGCTGTTAAGCGAATCACATGGTCATTAAGTAAATCCAGCTTCCCCAATGGGTGTTTTTTGCCAGAATTTGCTTAACGACCATGTGATTTGTTTAACAACCGTTGTAAAAAAGGTCACAAATTGTGATCACATGACCATGGGGAGGGGTAGTGTGACAGTTTGCAACAGTCATAAGTGTGAATACAGGTCATCACCTTTTTCAAGGCTGTTGTAACTTCAAACCGTTGTTAAGCAAACAGTTGTTAAGCAAGGACTACCTGTGGTATATTTCTGATAGATCCATTATACATGACAGCTTAAATGCATGGCTGCCACTCATATTGACATCTTAAAGTAATCTAATCCTTGCCTGTGGCTTACCCATGCATACTTAACAAAACTTCTCCAAATATTCAGCTAAATTAAATTTTAGGCCCAAAGGAATGTAAAGCTTTTTTTTTTTTTTGGTCTTTTTCCAATTAGAGTGTCTTCTTGTTGATGTTTATTTGATGTGATTATTTGTTAGGGAATTCTGACTCAATTTTTTGTCCTTTTAGATCATTTCATCTGCTAGTGAAAAATTTAAACAACAAAAATTATACCATGACATTCAACAACCTTCTGAAACCAATCTTAGCTAAAAGCAGCTCATGGAAGGTCAGTGCATCTGATGTAATCAATTTTAACACTGTTGATGTCAGTGCTCTGACTGGCTTTCTACACATTACATTTATTCATAATATGGTTTGTCTGGTTTTGGCTTAATATGGTATGTGAGCCTGCCAATTGTAGTTTATTCAGTAAATAATGGTTAAACAAACCAAAGTTTAGAATGATGCACAAACCCTGCCTTTAAATTGGTTTCCCGGGCTTCTGCTTCCTGGTATCTTCCTACAAATTAACTTTGTCACTAAAAGCTCTTTTTAGGTAGATGAGTAGGCAGTTGTCCTTGCACTTCTTATTCCCAAAGAGCATTTCTAATTTCCATAGTTCTGAGTAAGGTGGAACTAGCTGCTTAATATCACAGAGGCCTAATTCTGAGTGAAGTGGTGAATCTTTGCTTGGAGCACTGCTTCCCCTGGCAGAGTTTTCTTCACCTTGCAAGTCTCTTCTGCCTAGAACAGTCCAGTGCTATCACCTGTGGCAACATATAGCTAATGCTTTCATGTTGCAATTATTAAAGCAGTGATAGATCCGGAAGTGAACCTTGGGAAAATGAGTAACCGGAGGCTTTGAACCTTATGAATAGCATCTAAACTTCTTAAACTCAGGTATTTTTGATATTCTATAAGATTAGTTTAGAAAAGTAAGTTTCTGTTATTTTCAATAATGTAATATATCTACATTGGATTTTGCAAGTAATCCAAATAAGATCCTTTCTGGTAATTCTGGCATCTTGCATTATTTCAAACTCTTGGAGCATTGCTTTCCTCCTCCTTACAGATTAAAACAGATATGATCTTGATATTATGTAAGAAGCAGAAAGAAGAAAAATGGGAGTGCCTAACGCAGGTTGAAAAAGAGACTAAGGAAAAAGAGTAAGTGTGCCTCTATTTCTTGTTCTAGCAGTATTATATTGCTGTTACTACTGAAAAAGCTTCAAGTTGAAACTTGTGAAACCAAGATTCTATTAATCCATGCAGTGCGTGGAGGATGAACAGATTTTGAAGTTAGGAATAATTGTCCTGTTCTTGCTCATTATGGAATTTAAGACATCACCCTGGGCACAGAGAGAACTGCTCCTGTCTGTGCTCCTGCACTCTGAAGATGCC